CATTTGGCAATCCTCCTGGACATATTGATCCTGTGAAGGATCGGCTTGAGAGATCGATCTGTAAGAACATCTATGGCATGAGCCTGGAAGTAGTGTCGAAGTTTCCTCGTCGAGATTTCCAATGCCAAGACCGATTTCTCCATTGGAGAGTACATTGTCTCGGCGTCAAGCAAGGTTTTGCTTATGAAATACACGGGTCTTTGGGCCCTTTTGCTATCCCTGACTAGTGCTTCACTCACGGTGTCTCAAGATACAGATAAGTAAAGGCTAAGCACATCTCCTACCGTCGGAACGGATAAAGTTGGAGGATATTTCAAGTACTCCTTGATCCCTTCAAGAGCTCGACTGCATTCCTCGTCCCAAACCCCCTTAGTCGCCCCCCTCAACTTGGACAACTTGGAAATAAATTTGTTAATGGGCTGCTAACATCCCAGCCAATTTCTGAACATCCTTAATGGTCCTAGGCACCCGGATATTTTGGATTGCTTGTATCTGCTCGGGGTTAGCCTCGATTCCCCGGTGAGTAACCAAATACCCAAAATTTTTCTGAGCTCACTCCAAAAGCCCATTTCGAGGGGTTTAGTTTTAGGCCATACTTCTGGAGAATGACGAATGTCGTCCCGAGATCATAAAGATGGTTGGCCCCCTCTTTGCTTTTGACCAATATGTCATCAATGTATACCTCCATCGTTTCGCCGAGCTGGTCTTTGAAAATATTATTCATCAAACGTTAATAAGTCGCTCCAGCATTCTTCAACCCAAAAGGCATCACTGTGTAACAGTAGATCCCCCGGGGCGTGATGAACGCCGTTTTCTCCTGATTTGATTAATGCAAGAGAATTTGGTGATATCCAACCTGAGCATCCATAAAAGTGATGTGCTTGTGGCCAGATATGACGTCTACCAGCTGATCAACCTTGGGCAAGGGGTACTCGTCCTTGAGGCAAGTCTTGTTTAGATCCGTGAAGTCCATGCAAACTCGTCATTTTCCTTCTTTCTTCTTGGCGCACACGGTATTAGATAACCACTGGGGGAATTGTACCTCCTTGATGGAACCTGTCCCCAACAACTTATCCACCTCTTCATCCATAGCCTTCGCGTGATGAGGCGCTGTTCTCCGGGCCTTCTGCCTAATGGGTTTGAATGAGGAATTCACATGGAGCCGATGAGACATCACCTCGGCACTTATCCCCGCCATTTTGGCCTAGGTCCACGCAAAGACATCGGTATTGTGGCGTACAAACAAGGCCATATCATTTCTCTTTGCGTCGCTGAGTGACTTTCCTATCAAAAAGTACTTCTCACCGTTATCTAGGCTCAGGAGAATCTTAACCAAGGCCTCAATAGACCGGTCGACCGGTTCTATAATGGGCTCATCCACTCCCGGACGACTGCTGTGTGATTGCTATTTGGCAACCACCGCATCGGGATCACGCTCCTAACTCCGGCCACTGACTCCAATTTTCACTGCGGCATAGAATCAGCTTTTCGCCAACACCTGATCACCCCAGATTTCTATTATGCCCTGTGGTGTTTGGGAACTTTATCTCCTGGTGATAGGATGAGTGGACCGCCTTTATTGCATGCAACCACGATCTCCCCATAATAGTGTTGTAAGGGGAATCAGAGTCCACTACCACAAATTCCACTAGCGTGGTCACCACCTCCGCCCGTACCATGAGGGTGATTTTTCCAAGAAATAGGGGTGCTAGAACCATTGAAGCTGATGAGGGGGTCTTTACGGGTTCCAGATCCCTCTGCGAGAGTCCCATCTTGCGGAAGAGGTGATTGTACATCACATCAAAAGAACTGCTCGAGTCCACCAAAATCCTTTTGACGTCAAATTTCCCGACCCGTAAAGTGATCACCAATGCATCCTCGTGGGGGAGGACCACCCCGCCGAGATCAGCATCAAAAAATAGGATAACTTTGACACCACCTTGCGGCTTTTTGGGCGGCCGCTCCTCACCCCTTTCTTCCACCCTGACTGCTTAAGAGACCCTCTGTAACTCCGCGCGAAGGGAGTTGTATGTAGGCCTCTCCACTGTGCAGGCATGAATAACATTAATCACGGGCGCTACCTTAGCTGACACCGCAGCTTGCTCCCTCGCCGACCTGCCGGGACGACCCCTGTCGATGAATTCCCTGAGGTGTCCGTCTCACACCAATTGTTCGAGGAAGGATTTATAAACCTTGCAATCCTCCGTCAAATGGCTGACATCTTTATGATACGAACAACGGAAGGCCGCATTCCTTATCGATGAGTCTCCAATCATTCTCGGGGGCCACTTGAAGTAGGATTTGTTTTTAATCTTGGGTAGTATCCTGTGAATGAGCTCGTTGAAGACCGTGTTCATTCCCTGGAAGGATAGGCAAGTTGGGGGAGGAACAGGTCCTCCCCTTCGGGCCGACTGATTCTTTTTCCTTTTTTTCAGCATCGTGACCTTTCTTTCAGGCGCGATGGATTCTTCCTCCACCCGGGCATATTTGTTAATCTAAGCCATCAAGTCTTTCATGTCCGTCAGAGCCTTTTTAGTTAGCGATTTGTACAAATCAGTGTGCCAGGACAGCCCCAGCCTAAATGATACCCCGACCAATGCCTCCGAACATGCTTCCACCTCGTTCACTTCATCTTAATACCGGACAACATATTGTCGAAATGTCTCTCCCCCCTTCCACCTAAGCGTCAACAGAGCGCTGATGTCCTTCGATCTCTTACTGCTGGTGATGAATCGAGTTATGAAGAGCTCCATCAATTGTTTCTAGAACCTAACACTCTTAGGAGCTAAATTCTCATACCACCTCATGCTTGTGTCCCCTAGGCTCATGAGAAAAACTCGGTACAACACCATTTGGTCAGTATCATAGATTGACATCAATTGTCTATATTGCCGAAGGTGGCTCTCGGGATCGATTTTCTTATCATAGATTTTGAATCGCGGGACGATAAACTTCTTCGGCATTTCGACCTCCCCGATAGCCCAAATGAACGGTGAGATAACTTCGTCGGAGTAGACCTCAGGCTCATGGTTGCGATAAGCCACACAGTGGACCCTGGGATCTTTTTTTGATATTTCTTCTCGAGGCCTTCGGGGTGTGGACTTCGCTTATGATTCGGTGGCTCTGACACCCTCGGGTATCCCTTGGCGCAAGTCCCACTGGGACAGGCTTGCCTTCTGGCCCAATTCTGACTTCCCCTTCGAGGCCAAGAATCCTCCTCGACGGTCATGTTCCTCGAGCGAGTGCCTAATCTAATCTTTTATGGAGGGCCAATGCCAGGGGGGGCCTGGAGAGGTTCTAGCTAGGCACCTGGTCCCCAAACTCGCAACTACGCTCGCCCGCGCTCGCTGACTGCTCAAAATCGTCAAGACGTTGCTGGACCTTGGTGTTTTTCCTTTCAAGCTGCTTAATGCGTTTGCCCATCCGTTTTTTCACCATCTTGACGATGTCATGGGCCATGAGGTTACGCCCCCTAAGGCCATGATCCATAGGGAGCGTTCTTTGCGAAGAATGCTTCACCCCATCTGATTGGCCCAATGAACCCGGCTCCAAAACCATTGGAAGCTGGATGAGCTCTGTGTTCCTTACACGCACACTTGCTCCTTCACCCTGAGATCGAGTGTTCACCATTAGACAATCGCTACCGGGAAAGATGCCTTCGTTCCCACAGACGGCGCCAAATTGCACAGGATAATTCCTGTAATAGTTTAAGACAGCGATTTTCAAGCTGGCAAACCTGAAAAAACAGGGTCAGAAAAAAAGGGAATCAGACGAGCGCCCGACTTATCTCTTCCGAAGCTTAAGTCAGTATAAGGTCGAAGGGTTTCGCTCAATGAACTATTTTTCTGATTCAAGTTTGCGTACCTTTCTCAATTTTATTGAGGAGTATTTATACTTGAATTAACAATGATTGCCAAATATCTCCAGTCTCATTTGGACATCTTACATTTGACACATCATTCCTCGTGCAATAAGTGTTTTCTACTCACGTCTCCTCTTATTAAATGCTAGGAAAATGGGGTAAATGCTCGGCCAAATGCCGAGCATTTATGCCCCTCCCTTGAGTACCCAAATCCCTCAGATCGACATCTGACATCAATTGAATATTGAATACTCAGGGGGAACAGTTCCTCGGGGGGAGCCGATCACATCATCTCGGCGCATCAACCATTAATACTTAGTCATCATGACAGTAGGCCTAGACTCCCAGAGGACAGGTGCTGGCAGACGCGCATTTATTTGCCTATCACTATCACTCATTCCGCCATAAATGAGGGGTTATATCGCATTAAATAAGATGTCAGCTGTCGTACTCGGCTGCTTCGTGTCACCATACTTCGGCTTATCTCCTCGGCGCCCTTTGGACATCCCAACGACTTCATTATTTCACGTGTCAATCTGAGGGTTATAAAGTCACCTAGAGTCCCGAAAGTATAAATAGAAATTAAAAAAAAAAGTTTTAGAAAGTATAACAGCAGTAATGAAGGCCTGAAGGGTTCAGATTGTGAGACACCCCTTAGAATTAAATCAAAAAAAAGAAGAGTTCGGGTTGCCGAATATTCAACAGAGGACAGAGAATTAATTAGGTTAAAACGACGGGGTGTGAAAGCAAATAAAGAAAAAAGTCTCCCTTAGGTAAATTTGCTTATGACATAACACATTAACACACACACACACACACACACACACACACACATAGAGGCAGCACAGCACACCAGAGAAGTCCCAAAACACACGAATACAAAGCGGACGCACAACAAAATTGAGAGAGAGAGAGAGAGAGAGAGGGAGAGGGAGTGACATTGATCACAGTTCGACGGCTAGATCCGTCGTTTCAATCGTATTACACTCGGAAAAGGCCTCTCTCACTCGATCACTATCCGATCACTATCACAATCTCTGCTGTATCAGTAACTTCTTATGGATTTATTGCGAGTATTTTCTGTTGTTGTATATTGATCAGTTTTTTTGATTGTTGGTAGTGTTTTGCCCTAATTTGAATGGCCATGACGGCCGATTCTTCGACCAATAACCACTCGGCACGTTCTCCAATAACTTCCGGCAGTGACGGCGCCGATATTATTCAGTCCCAACGGCGGAGTAGTTTGCCGTGGGCCCAAGTTGTTCGTGGCTCCGAGTACGAAGCAATCACAGCTTTTCCTCGTTCTCCATCATCGTCGTCGTCGCCTTCAATTGCTGCAGCGGAGCAAACTACTTCTTCTCCGAAGGCACCTCTGGAGAAGTCTACAATGGAGGCTCACCTAGAGAGTTCTGATTGTGGTAACTGCAATGTCGGTCGTACAAAGAAGCTTGCTTGGAAGAAACCCTTAGACGGCGTCGTTGAGGTCAATACGGTAATGGGAGGTACTGTTTCTTGGCCTGCTCTCTCCGAGTCGACTCGGCCCATCCCTAAATCATCTGCTGATTCCTCCATTCCAATCTCTGACAAATCAGACTCTGTTTCTCAGGTTCAGTTCTTCAAAATCTATTTTTGTCTATCTATATCAGCATATGTAGTAATTTTGAAGATTGATTCTTGTTATGTGTATGATTGTATTTCTATGGTTATTTATTTTTATATCTGTTTGATACAGGGCCCTATAATTTCACATACACCTCAGAAACAAGCTAAAACTAACGCAAACCCTAATTTTACTCCCAACAATAGATTGCCCTCTAGACAGAAATCAATGAAGCATCGCAGTGCAGGGGGTGGATCAGCACAGAGTGGCTTCAATCGGCCACCAGCCCCGCCACCGCCACCGCCACCACCGCTGTTCCCTGTATTTAATGTACATTATGGACATCTGATACCAGCAGTGTTGGAGTCAACTGTAAGAGAACCTCCATACAAGGGAGGAGTTGGGTCTCAATCAAACATAGTGACTGATCCCTTTCCTCAGCGGAATTCTTCCCGGATGGGTAACTTTCGGCCCCGTCACCATGGAGATGGAATGCATCATAATGGTCATGGAGGGAGGCGCAATCATGAGCGTGAATGGAATGGTCCTCGAGGTTCTAGTGTAAGAGAATTTCATATGCCACAGCAGATGGCTCCTCCTCCGATGAGGGGATTTATAAGGCCATCACCCCCCGGTTCCACCTCTTTTATTGCACCCCCACCTTTGAGACCCTTTGCAAACCCCATGACTTTTGGTAAGTTTATCATATAATATCTACGCATGCCTTTGTAATGTGGTGTTATAACTTATAACTAATATCTCTGGCTTCTTTAAGATTTGCCATCTCCATATTATTATGTCCCGACACTGCCTCCGGACTCCTTCAGAGGTGTGTCCCTTGTTCCTCATGCACCGCCACCTCCACCACCAATGTTTTTCTCTGTACTGGATCCTCCTTTGCCTGCTTTGTTAGTCAATCAGATTGACTATTATTTCAGGTATTTTGGCACTGTTGGCTATGACTTTATTTTCCCACGTTAAATACTATCTGTGTTCCCACATTAAATTTTGCCTATTTGGAATTTAATATTTGATTGCTTATGCAACTTCTTGTTCATTGCAGTGATGCTAATTTGGTAACGGACAAATTTTTGAGGTCGAACATGGATGATCAGGGCTGGGTTCCCATCACTTTAATAGCTAGCTTTCCCCGAGTATGTAAATGTGAATTCGATTTAATAAGCCATTCTTTAATCTCCTAGTTTGTGCCTTGATTTTAAACATCGTTTACTGTTCTTACTGAGAGTGTCAGAGTAATTATTTGTATTTTGTAGCCTTACCTTGATGGATTGTTCAGATTGCCAGCTTATGATTTCGTTTAATTTCTTAGTCCATAATTAGACAAATCGAATACTAGTAGAGTATGGGTGATCTTGTCAAATAAATGTATGTTAATGTTGACATTATAGTAAAACAAATCCCTTGTCAAGTAAGAACCTTTTGCAAAACCTGGGGATTCTCTTTGAACTCGTGTCAAACTTAATTAATCTTCAAACTATAGAATGTAGAATTATACTCAGTTTAGGAATGGTATTTCATCATAATTAAATACCAAAAAATCGTGTATATAGAAATACTATCAATGGGTCACATCAAGATCGATTTCCAGCATGAATTGGATCTTATAACTACAGCAACTATGATACCAAGTTACATAGTTTTAATCAAAACAAGAAGATCGAACCCTGTACGTAAGACTCTTGCTCGAAGTGATGTCCGGAGTGATAAGTTGTAGGTTGCTAAGATTTACCCTCATTTTAGAGGTTGATTCCTAAACTTGAACCCCCAATGGTAATCCACCAATTTGGTGAGATGAATGATAGAGTAGTGATCTATATTATAGAAATTAATGTGGTATGTTTGTCTCAGTCAAAATGGAATTTGGATATTCTGAATTATATTGAGTCTCAGGTCAGTTAGTAGTCTTATTAGGATCTATTGGATTGTGATTTGAACTTGGGTCCTGTTATTAAAAGTTTGGATTCAAAATCTAGACAATCTACACCAAGTCCAACTTGTTGACAATTATAGTTGTCCACTATATTTGTTTCGCTGTGCTATGAACTTATCTTTTTCTTTGTGATACGTATTGTTAAGGTCTCTTTTGATTTGATCTAGTAAGTGAATAAGGAATTCATGTTGATGGTCAAATTTTGGTGACAAACTCTGTAGAATGTTGTTCAAATTGAGATAATTTCTAAGATTCAGATCTATGTGTTTTTTAGAGTCATAAGTTTATAACATTTCCACCTTGTAGTGGGTCCTTCAAGCCTTAGTTTTGATTCTTCAGGTTTTCAAACCATATTGAATATATAAGAAAAATACTACAAAGTTGATGATAGCCAAAGATAGTTTTAGTGCTTAATTCCGAGTCAGGGTCGATTAGGTTCTAGAATCATGGTGATGCTAAGAATTGAAAATTTGACCTTATTTTCATCTTTGGTGTGTGTGGAAAGAATATAACTATGACTTTGTATGCTCTTTGGCTTCCTGTTTGATGTTGAGGGTTCTCGTTCTTTCTTCTATTAGTTTCGATTTTTTTCTTACCAAAGATTTTCTCTTCATCATCCTTTCTATTGATATTTTTATGGACTATTTACAATTAAGTCAAGTGGTGGTGATTTTGATATTCTTATTTTTTTTGTCACTGTATCTCTCATTCTTGTTTTTAGGGGTGTTCACCCTACCCGACGGGTAGGAATTATGGTGTTCTATCTTCCTACTCAAAGGTAATATTCCGGTCGAATTCCGTCCAAAACAGTCGGGTAGGAAATTAGGTAAATACATTTTTTAGTTATTAATTTATGGATTATTTTAACAACTCAATTAAATAACCTACATCAAGTAGAAAATAGAAACTGGAATCATAAAACAAAAGAAGAACTAGAAAATGAAAACAAAAAATAAAACAAAAAGCAGAAACATAAATCAGAATAAAAAACAACAATCAGAAGCAAAAATTGGGGACAAAAAAAAAAGGAAACTCAAATTTGGCAATCCTTTGAAGAGCAGATTTTCTGAAATTTTTCAAATTGGGTCTTTCTAAGTTTGTTCAAAGTATTATAAAGTAATAAACAAGATGAATGTGACAGAATAAAAATTTATATCAGATCGGGTGGGGCTATTCCTATCCCACAAATCTCCATTCACACCCCATTTAATTTCTCATTATCAAATTACTAAGTCCACCCCTTCTATACCTACCCCATTAGTAACTAAGTCCACCCGATGCTATATACACCCCATTTTTTGCGGAAGCCGATTAGACGGGTTGGTTAGGGTCAGAATATGTGGGCAAGTGGAAATTTGAACACTCCTACTCGTTTTTCTCTTGGGCTGAGGTAAATTATGTGAATTTCACTGAATCAACCTTTTTGGGTCAAAAAAGAAAACAAATGGTCTAAATTAATAATCAATATGGAACCATTTTCTGGGGAAATTATTTCTGTGCTTCATTTATCTGAGTGATACCCTGCTTTGCATTTTGGTTAGTTGAAATTGTTTAGCTATGCATAATTTCTGTCTAGAGTCTGTTGGTTAAATTCTTTTCCCAGACAAATTATCTTCGTCCTGTTTGTTAGATTCGTTTTCCAGGCACATCAACTTCTGCTGCTGCAGCTGCATTTTGTTCTCTTCTTTAAACTGGCAGAACTGTAGGAGCCCCTTTTTTTTTTAGACAGGAATACATTAACCTTGTTACTTATTCTTATCTGTGGTCCTTAGCTCCTTGAATGACATCAAAACATTTCTTGGCAGAATTCTACAAGTTTACACTTTTTGGTGGAAATGGTTATTTTACTCTTACTGATCGTTGTGATCCTCCTTAGAATTATTTGTGAGACCAAAATATATTTTTTTGGAAAGATTGCCTAACCTTTCATGGTTATTTCATAGTTTGCACTTATATGGAAAAGTTGATTTTTCCCAAAAAAAAAAAAAAAAAAAAACGTTTTGTAGAAATTTAAAGAAGTTGAGTGGGACTATAGGAGGGTTATGGCCTTTTTTTTGATGGAAATCAATTGAAAGAGAGATTTGTGTAAAAAGATAAAATGAGAATCTCGTTTTCTGTAAGTCCAAGTCAAGTCAAAAGTTGAAGTTAATTCCACTAAGAAAATGGATTTTTGATTGATGTCCAAAAAAAATAAGAAAATTAGTAAGNTTCTCAACTGGAGTAATTTTTTGATAACATTGTTAGATCTGTTTAAATTACGAGGGACATGCTAGAATTCTCTAAGTTATCACATTACAAGGTGCATCCTGTATCTCACTTAGCTAGGAAAGATGGAATGGGATGATTTTTAGAAATAGATGCAAATGTGTTTTTTGACAGTGTAAAATGGCGTATTAATTAGGGGTATCAAAATATGATGCGACACAAAGTTATGAANAAAAAAAAAAAACAATTGGTGCAATAAAGTTATTTATCATATTTTGTACCGTGTCAATACTCTTAGCTTCCCACACTAGTTCTTTAAGTTCTATAGGATCGTGAGCCATTCGTTTATGATGTTGGCAGTTATTTTACCAGTGAACCTTGTTCTTAAAGAGTATAATTCATGTAGGAATTCAATTATGTCTTACCATGCCCTTTAGAGTTGTTTTAACGCCCTCCCTGAGTGAGAAGGTCATATCCCATCTATGTCCATGCTTTGTCACCATCTGCTTGGCATATCATATTTAGATTATCTTATTAGTTTTCATTTTAGTGTTAGCAATCTCCATGCACAGATCAAGTCCTCTCTATGTATGATTTTGCAGGTTCAAAATTTGACTCACAACATCCAGTTGATTTTGGATTCCTTGAGAGCTTCTTCTGTCGTGGAAGTACAGGTAATATCATAGATTTGATTTCAATGCCACAAATATGTGTGCGTGTAATATACGGATAGACTTAAGGTGTAATATTGGTGAGAGATTTCAATGTTGAGATCATATCAACTCTTGGCTCTAAATAATTTGCACTCTTCATATTGTTTGTAGTGGCCTAGAATTTGTTGGAATCATGTGACAGATGTCCATAACTTTTGTAATGTAATTCTGTAATAAGTTAAAAGGACCGTAACTTTTTTAGTTCGATTGTTAGATTCTTGTGTTATGAGGCACTGTTCACATTTTGAAGAGAATCAATGAAATGATGCCTGCCATATGCATTCATTTCTATCCACCTGGTCCTTATCTTCCTAATTTCGCAGGGTGACAAGGTAAGGAGGCTTAATGATTGGAGGAAATGGATATCCGCTTCATCTCGATTTCCTGCTGATTCAGGCTCAGGCTCACAGTCACCCCATGGATCAACAGACAATGTGCTGGCAGCTTCTTTGCTGAAGGTCTCACTGGATGAAGTGACTACTAACCAAAATAGTAATTCGGGTGCTGCAGATAATAACATAGAGGTAGTAACAGGTAGATGTTCATCTGAGGATTTCACCATCCAGTCAAGTTTGGCTAATGGGGAGGATACTACTGAAGAAGCCGATTCAAGCTTGACATGATTACTTCATTTCATAAATTCTTTTTTTGCATATTCAGTCATGGTTGATACAGTTTATCTTTAGATGGCAGAGGACAGCTAAGGAAGTTGTTGGAACGCCTTTTTGTTTGATTTCGTCCTTGACTGAAATTAGATTTTGAAAATTTCCAAGAGGATACTAGAGGGAAACAAACAATAAATATCTGTAGCCTCTCCACAAATTGGAAGAAGGAAAATGTGGAGAAGCAAAACAAAGGAGGCTCTTTGATTATCGACCGAGACCAAATTATATTGGGTTATTCAGTTTGTATAGTTGTCTGGATGAAAAGGTGTACTTTTAGCCTTGGTCATTTGGTGGTGGGTATGGTATGGAATTGATTCACAATCAGGAAAGCAAATTTTTTGGAGTGATTGATTTCCTCTTGGCTCAACTTGGTTTCATTTTGGATCGTATATATGTTTACATTACTATACATCTCAAATATGTTTATTTTTCATGGCTTATTTACACATATTTGATCTTTATGTTGTATAATTATTTTGAGATGTGAAGAGCCGGATACCCATATAGAAAGGTTTGTCGTGGAAAGACAGTGCCTAGCTCAGACTTACTGAGACAAGAGCCTTCTTCAGTAATCAACCGAGCAAAAAGTAAGCTTTTTCCTGGTTGATAGGTAAAGGCAGCAAATATCATATAATAGAAATCTTCCTCGTATTCTTTGATGCAATTACTAGTGCTGATCTCTCTAAGTCTACGATAATTTTTGTGTAGGGTAGTGTCATTATTTGCCCAGCCAAAAGGATAGCAATTTTATTTGGTTTTGTTGTAGATTATAATTAATTAGGGGTAATTCGTGTTTGAAGACACGGTACAATGTAAGTAAGATGTGATAGATTTTTTTTTTGGAGGGGAGAAGGGGGAAGGGGGGGAGAAAATTTCAATATGAATTCTTTTAAGAGAAATGTTGGTAACCGTTGGACGAGTTTATTTGAAATTGTTGAATGAATTTATTAAAATCTTTCCTATTTTATATTATAGATATCTGGTGGTACATTTGAGTCAAAAAGCCGAGTTGAGGGGTTGTTGGTGCTATTTGTCTTGTCACCTTTCTGAATCGACTCTGCTGAGGTTCCAAGCGTTCTCATACTTTGCAAGTAAAACCTTTTGTGTCATAAGCTGAAAGCCATCCAACCCTCCATTTTTGAATAAGAAGTCTCCACTTATATCCTTGCAAAAGATGCCATTTTTAAACTTCAGACGGTTTTTTTTTTTTTTTAAATGATTAGAATACCAAATTGCCATATAGATTGAACTCCTTTATTCACGAGCTATGAGAAGAATCACAACATATCCAAGCTTGGAGAAGGGTATTGATGTCATCTTATCATGTTTTAGAAGACGAGAAGAATTACAACATATCCAAACTTAGAGAAGGGTATTAATGCTATCTCATCATGTTTTAGAAGACCACGTCAATGTAGTCTCTAACAGTTAAATATTTTTCAAACAAAACTCTAACAAAATAAAGGATCATGTGATTGAGGACTACCCCACTAGTGGATATAAATCCATGAGGCAATTACCCATATACACATATCAGTTGTAATCTCTATTTTCTTTCCTAAACAATAGAAAATCCTCCGACGAATAAGAAATTTTATTAAAGTGGATTAGTCAAACTCTTCAACTAATAAACTATTGTATTCTTTGAGTTCTTCCTTATTTTCTTGCTTTTATTAATGACTTTGATTCAATAATACTTTTTATTTTATAAAAATTTTGTAGAAGTCAAATGTTCAAATCCTCCTCTCCTCATCCATCCCCTTCTGTTTTTCCCCCTCCCCCCTCCCCCAAAATATATATATATATTTTTTTCTTCCTTTTACCTCTACTTTACGCTTCCTATTGCATGTTCCAGAGTTAGGCTTTGCCATTCGCTGGTCATTCATTGATCATTGTTCATTTACCTATTGTACTTACCACCATTATTGTTCCACAACCTTAAGCATTTAGCCCACGCCTTTGACTTAGAATTGGTCGAGATAGTTCAATGATCGATCATGAATCCCTATGATTAATCATAAATTTTCTTTAATCAGGTATAATTTTATACTTGAAAGGTGTAATGTTTACCATTAAAAATAATAATTTTGAGTACAATACAAAAAATAAAAATAAAAAAAATATCAAAAATGACTTCTTTCCCTATTATGAGGGATAACAATCTCGTAATTGTGGTCCCATACTAAAAAGATTAATGATATCTTTAACAAAATTGGATATCAAAATTTTCGTCCTAATTGAAATCATAATTATAATTATTAAACGAATGAGTCTCATTTTTATTCATTGTCAAAAATAAAATAATTAAGTATAAAAAAATATAATACTGTTTTATTTTTATTGTTGGTACAAACATAATTGGACCCTATGATGAAAGCGTGGGGTTGCTAATAGCAGTGAGTGGTACTGATAATGTACATAAAAGTACAGTAAGGTGGAGTAGTTTTTTTCTTTTTTGACCAAGGAGGTGGAATAGTTAGAATTGCTATTATTAGGGGCTAATAACTACTAACTCAGTAGTTCAGAGCTGACAGATGCATTAACAGGCGAGACTCTTCAGCCATCTGCTTCTTAGCTGAAAAGTTCAGTGATTTTGCTGATAGTTGGATCCAAAGAGAAGATTTGCCGTAACGTCATAAATCTCATTATATATATATATATATATATTTTCTTTGAAAACAAACACCCTTAAATGTCACACGCATTTGGGTCAGAATTCTCTGCTTTTAAAAAATCAATGACAGAGTTGTTGATTAAAACAGTATCGTTTTCTATCAAAATAATGTAATTTTTTTACAAAGTAACATTGTTTTAATGCAAAACAACATTATTTTAGTGCAAAATAACGTTGTTTTAACCAACAACGTCCTGTTGTTAAAAATTAACAGCAGAATAATCGATTCCCACGAATTTGGGTTTTTTTTTTTTGATGAATTATCTTTTCAAGTTAGGATCATATTAGATCCATGCTTGTGGACAAAATCTTGGGTAAACTATAATCATATGTTTTCCACAAAAATCTGCTGAATTCTAACAGTCACCAATGAAAAAAGCAAATTTAAGCTATGTAGGTTTATGATTTTGTTTTAGACTAATTTGATAACATTGGCTTGCTTGCTTGCATAGATTATAATCTTACTGAGATAACTCGTGTTTGAAGACATGATATAATATAAATGATTTTGAGAGGGATATTGGTGACCGTTAGATGAATTTATTTAAAATCGTCAAATGAGCTTATTGAAATCCGTTCTACTTTATATTATAGATATAGATTATCGATGCTTTTGATTCACGTCAAGGGCATAATAAAATATTGGGCAACAGATTCTAGAGTTGTTTAAAATTGTATAAAACTTCAAGAGGATTTGGCAGTTCGACCCAACAATAAAAAATGAGGACTTTAATATGTGAGAGATTTGTAATAGAATCCGATCCAAGTACGACTCCTAATCATATTCTCTTATTTCTTTTTATTTTATTCAATTAATTACAAAATCTTCTTATATCTTTTCATCTTCTTAAATTAATTATGTGCATAAATTTAACATTTAATTATATTCATTTGAACATTAATAATTAATTTTAACCATTAATTTTAATTTTGTCCTTAAATGATCTTGATCTTGTCTTAAAAGACAATTATTCCTTAATTTGGCTTAAATATATATATATATATATATATATATATATATATATATATATATATATATATATATATATATATATTTTTTTTTTTTTTGGAGTTTCTACTTTCTTCTTAAATATATTTATAAACTATAAAAATGTGTATATACTACTTGAACATATCAACATACATGAAAAATATTTTTTTTCCTCTTTTACCCTCCAACACTACAATTATGTCATGTTTATCCTCCTCAAAATTTATATCTATATCCATCAGCCTGGTAAAGAAATAGACAATGAGAGATACAATTAATACACATAATGTTAGAACTTACAAATTCTAACAACAAATATTAAGTTGATGTTTTAAAGTCAATCTAATACCCCATAATGTAACTCATTTATATAGAAACTAGACTCTCTAGGTTTCCATGTTCTATATTTCTTACTTGGAAGTAATTCCATGTTCTATATTCTTCCATAATGATTGGGTTCTTCTCGTCTTCTTCTTCTTCTTCATCATGAGACGTTACGATGTTTTGCAGCTTCTTACCAATGATGTTTGTATTGTGTAGGTCTGAAATTTTTGATATTCTGGTTATGCCAGAATTTGTCTAAAGAATTTTTTACAAAGAGTAGTCAAATAAAAATATGACTGGAGGTGTCATATATCGATATGTATATATGTTTTATGTACATTTCCTTTTGTGAATTGCATTTTTTAGTTAATTGTGGTTTTAATTTTGATTTTTGACTATATTTGTAAAACCTAATCCTCATATCACAAAAGTAACCCAAGGGAAGAGAAAAGTTCATGGCCAAGCCCAAAGATCTTGTCACTCTTCGATTGATTGCGGGTTATAATTAATAGTTTTCCTTTTAAATTTTAATTATCACTTTGCGTGCTATTAATTATTATTATTATTATGTTTTTTAGACTCCTGAACTTGGAATGGAAAGACGAAGAGAAGATTTGACACATTGTTTTACGTATCCAAAACACTTTATATAGTGAGTGTTTGGTTTTAGTTATCCTTAAAACTATTGTCAAATAAAATAAAATAGGATTTTTACAATTGAAATCACACAACCATATACTATAAGATTAATAAAACATTTCCCTTCTCGAGGAAGTCCCCCATGTAAAAGGTGCCTCTGTATGGATGAGAGATAAATTTGGAATATTGAAGATCCTGTTGAAGTGTTAATTCCTTGAGAAAACTTAAGCCTACTCCTAAAATTGTAGCAGTTTTTACATGAGATCATTGAAGTGTGCTTACAAATCCTTCAAGGTGCTTAGAATCTATAGAGGACAACTAGCTAGGCAT